CAGTTAAAATGTATTAAACTCTTAAGTGCTTAAGGCAAGGTACCTAAAGATGGAAAACAGGCTAACAACAAGCATCCTTAYCTATGAAAGTCAGGTCACTTAGGCAAGTTATAATCTCTGTTATTTTTACTTAGAAGAATTAATGTAATTAATGTAAGGAGTCAAGCACAGACCAGAGTCGCATTGTGCTAATCACAGTATAAACAAAAACAACAACAAACGAACAAAAAGAAGCAGGGGTTGTGGCCTGAAAACTTGCCTATCTAAAGGTCCTCTTTCAGTGGCTAAGTAAAGCCTGGCAGGCTCAGCCAAGAGCAGGAGCTCAGCATGCAGCCAAACAGGCACACATGTCACAGCTGCTGCCTCTTATGAGAAAAATGTGTCACAGCTGCTGCCTCTTTGGATAGAGAAACTATCCTCTCTCTGCTACCTCCCCGTCAGCAAGAAACGATCCAGCTGCTGGGGATTATGTTTTACAGGTGTTAGCAATTCCTTTCTTTGGGGAACTGGAGAGTGTTAGCCCCTTCAAGTCATATTTCAATGTAGTTCAAATATTTTTAAGAAGCAGATATATATTTAGTATTATTTCAAAGATATCTTATCTGTATGAGGAAACAAAACCACTAGCTGGCCTTTCTGCCCTTTTTATGGGTTGCTCTTGATAGGACAGAAGATAAACACACTCAATATATAGGAAAATACAACGATAGCCAAAGTTGGCATGGGAGTTAGAACTATGTTCCACTCTAGCACTAGCAACTATTCAACCTCTTTTGGGGACGGAGTACTTCAGCTTAAGTATTTCTTTTTTATACAGTAAAACATCTGCCAGTAAAGACAGATCTTGAAATCTGTTAAAGGGTTCAGAGAAAAAGAGATTAATTTAAGTTACTTGGTTTTTACTTTGAAAAGAATTCTGCACTGCAGTTGTTATGAATCACATTGCACAATGGACGTGAAAAATCAGGTGGACCCCAAATAGCACTATCAAATCCATAAACTCTTGCATATGAGAAATCAATGTAGCTCCAGCCAGTAACATTGCCCCAAATAATCACATCTTTAACTCCTGTAACAGAGAAAAACGCACAGATTAACRAAGAGAAAGACAAATGCTTTCACAAAATGAGTTGGATAAGATGATCTCCAGAAGGTCACTTGAACAGGAATTATTCTGACTTAATGTCCTGCTTTGATCACAAAGATCATTTCASCTCAAAACTGCAACTAACCTGTTTCTGTAACATTACATGAAACCTCATTATAAGCTGAAAAATAAATCCTAACTTATAGAAAGTTACTGTATATATTTGAGCAAGCCTCTTTGAAAACAAAAGGAATCTTACTGCAAACATATAGCAACACTCTTTTTATAAAAACCTCCTCATGCAAATATAGATTACTAAACAGCGATCTGTAGAAGATGCATTTTTTTTTAAATAATTTAACTGACTTGGTGCAAAAGGAATTTATTGAATAATCAGCTGACATGCTATTCAGCTTATTACCTTAAAAGTTACTTTTCTGGGTTTTTTGGTCCCCAAAATATCTAGATTTGTTACTGTGACTAGCACCTACCCCTGGAACACAGAGAAAATAGTGACATGAAGCAAGGTGTTGGAGAACTGCACCACTTCAACTTCTAACTCTTGGCCCTCCTAAGAAAGCAAGCTGATTAACTCAGGAATAACACTGTAACACAGTCCTACTATACATTTACTATCTGCACAGCAGTATGCTCTCATGTTTCTATACTGGAAGCCTGAGTGTCTCAGACATAACAATATACTGCATGATGCAAATGCCACCTTGAAGTCCTAATTCCTGATTGCCAGCATGATATACATACCAGAATGATAGGGCTGAGGACAACAGTTAACAAGGTAACTGGCAGTCGTGGGATCACACACAGATCCACACATCTGGAGGCAGACAGAACAGCAGAACTTGCAACTCACAACCCTCATATTCTGCACAGCAATGAAATTGCAGGAGTGCGCTGCTGTGCATGCATTTCTGCACATGTGTCCTCTATGAAAAAACACTCCAGAAGACTTCTATCTACTGAAATCTCCAAATCTCGATCACACAAATATTCACCTGCTGCGTTGACATTCAGTTTCCTGGCCAGCATGGCTTTAGCTGCACTTTCCCAGAACGTTGCAAGGGCAATGATATTTTCAGGTTTAATGAATGGGCCGTACGTCCTAATCATCAGTGCCTTAAGGTTTACRAAGGTTTTTCCTGCTGCAATGACTCTGACGCCGCTCTTGGCATTCTTCTCAATGAGGCGAGCATACACTCGACAGACATCAYTCAGCTCTCTGATGCACTCCTCCAGGCAGGGGGCTTCGTGCTTGAAGAGGATATCATCAAGAAYGATGATCACGTCGGCTTGCAGAAAAGCCTCTTCCATCTTAGTGTGCTTCGCAACGCTGCGGAGCAGTGGGAAGGCCATGTCCTCAGCTTCCATCACAATACCACAGAGAACTTCTTCAAACTGCTTCGTGTCCAGTAAATGGATACTGATTTCTGTGGTCATCCCAAACACTTGTCCATTTGCCAACAGGGGGATCAGATGGTAGCAGGTTGGAGCTGATGCACTTATGAAAAAGATAAAGAAAAAAAATGTGGTTTATCAACAGACACTGATTACATAAATTGAAGAAGAATTTGCTTTGTACTTAACATGTAAACAGTTCACTAGTTTGGTTAATTTTTGCTCTTTTTTTTCATATTTAAGTTAAAAATTAAAAAAGTGGGGTCTTTTTTTTTTTAAGGAAAACGTTTTAAAGGTTTTTCCATCCTATACTTTCAGGTGATACAATCAGTTATAATTTAAAAGAAACTTCTTTTTTTTTAAGTATAAATGGCAAATATTAACAAAAATGCAGAAATTTTTAAAGCCAGAACTTCAAAGCAAAGTTCACTTATCTAAGTATTTCCAAAAACATTCTATATTACAAATTTCTTAATTCATAAAAAAAWTTCTAATATTTGCCGTTTGCATCCTTTACTTAAACTGATGCAAAATGCAATGAAGACAGAAACACCTTCTGGATTATATCCTGAGTGCTTACACAGAGGAGTACAGACACGATTCAATTCGGCAAAATTACAGGGGTTCRTGTATAACCTGTTAGTTATTAGCTCTGTTAAACGTGATGAAATGTGTTTTTTGAAGCTGAATGAAATTTTGTATCAACATTTTCTTTATTCACACCTTGTGATCCATATCTGCAAAGGGTTGATGAGGCCTTTAATCTCTTCCTCTTCTTTTTCAATCTCAAGGTGAGCTTGTAGGTTCTCCTCAGCAATGGCTAACATCTCCTCGCTGAGCATTGGTGAGGTGACGCCATAGTAGTGCTAAGATCAAAAACAGTGATCTCTAACCAAATGACAGCCCAAACATAAAAAAAAAAAAAAAAAAAACTAGAAAGATCATTTGGATTTTGCATTTGAAAGAAAAAGGAACAAGAATGTTATGCTTTAAAAAAAAGTAAAATATGAGTTTAGAGCACTAAAGGCAGATCCTTACCTGAGCATATTCCAGAAAATCATTAACTCCTCCCAGAAGCAGGCCCTTCCCTCCACGATCCACAAGTTCTCTCCAAATGATCGGAGAGCGTTTGTGTTCCCATCCATTCCTTTCACAGATGTCACGAAGCCATTCCTATTGTAACCCCCAAAAAAGTTTTAATACTTTTTCTACATTTGATAACACTTAAATGTTACTGATAACAACATTTTATTACATTATTTGATCTCAGTAAATGATTACAAGATGTTTTGCAGCTTACCAACAAAACAGCGTGTTCAAAATGTAGGGACACAAACTGAGCCATCGTGATACCCCAACAGAAAAGCAAAATGTTTTACTATCTTCTGCTTGGTTTTTTTTCCTCTAGTTTTCTCAGTTGTCTTGGCATTATTGAAAATAGGAATACTTTGAAGTAAGGAGTAACGTGAGGATTTCTGTTAGTTGTAGAAGGTAAGCAGGCTGTAGATGTAATTGCTACTCTTTGAGCATTAGAGTTCTTCAGGTTATTTGGCTGAGGTGTCAAGCAAAGCACTAGGGAGTAAAAAGCATCACAGTACTACCTATCTCCTAAAGTAATACTGTTTTTTTTTTTGTTTTTTTTTTTTGAGGGGGGGGGACCCCTAATACAGCAAAAGAAGAGTTATACCACAAATAAGATAATCCCTCACTTGGAGCACTGGGATATCTACCAATCTCTTACCTCCCATTTGTCAGGGTGCTTAGTGATCTTGTGAATCCTGAAGTCTGGCAAATTAGCCTGGAGATAGTCGGCCAGGAGCTCTGCTTTGGCATAGTATGGGCAATTTGCCCTCCCTGGGAACACAGCCAAGAATGGGGCAAATGGAGGGTTACCCAATGTTACCCAATAATGGCTTAATAAATCCAGAGTTGCCCTAATTAGAACAATTACATATACATATATACATATATACATATATATACATAAACATATATACATATACACTTACATAAATGCATATATAAATCAAATTAAAAATCCAAATATTAAACTATTCCAATTCAAAATGAGTCCTATGTAACCAGTGTCCCAGGCCCCATATGTAACCAGATGAAGAAAAAGAGAGAGAGAAAAAAAAAAGGTAACTTTGTAGGGATGGAGGCTGTTCATATGAAGTACTTGGGACGGCCTTTCTGGGGCCGAGAAGGCCACCCCGCCCCAGGGGAAACGGCGAGGACGAAGGAAGGGACACGGCTGCACGGTCGCTGCGCTCCCCACGGCCGCGGCGACCCCTCACCTGCTATCGCCAGCTTGGCCATAGGCGCGGCCGCCTCCAACGGTCGCTCCAACGGTCGCTCCAACGGCCGCCGGGGCGCCTCGCGGCACCGCCCAACCGCCGCGGCGTTGCCTGGCAACGCGGCGCGCGCCGCCGCCGCGCGGCGGTTTGTCCCTCGGCCCGCGCCGTCGGTCTCGCGAGGCGCGGCGGGGGCGCGCGGCTGTCATGGCGGCGGCGCGGGGTGAGGCGGCGGGCCGCGCGCGCTCCGCGTGTTTTCCGCGTCTTTCTCGTCGATCCTCTGTCGTCTCCGCCTTAGCCGCGTGTGTCTGTTGGTAACGGCTGCTCCCCTGTTGGCCCCGCAGGTACGTGAGCGTGCGCCGCGCCTCCGCGCCCCTTGCCGTCGTCGGAAACGTCCTCCTGAGCCGGCGTTTGAAGCCCGCGGTGGGATATGAGCGGAAATGAATAACAGAATGAGTTTATTACTGAGGACAGTGCGATGCGTGCATAGGCGCAGCTTTGCGCGGACACGCAGCCCCTCCGCGGCGCCAGCAGCGTTATGGACCGGCACACGCAAGGAGCCCGTGGAAAAGGCCGGGTTCAGGATTTGCTTGCTAACCGCTTTCCGCCGCCTCCACGAGCCGTCTCCCGGGCTGCCGCCTCCCGGGGCGGGCGCCTCCGCGCCCGGCTCCGAAACGCGCGCGGAGCGGGAGGCGGAGGCCGCGGCGGGCGAGGAGGCCCGCGGCGCCG